GCTTCTGGCGCGTAGGGGGAGCCGCAAGCATCGACGCCCAGAGAGGATGAAAGGGAGCAGGTGTACGACCAGCAGGCAGCCCAGGAGGAGGAGGAGGAGCATGAGGAGGAACAGGATGGATGGACGGAGGGAGGACGGAGAGAGAGAGCGGGGGAAAGCAGGAAAGTGTGGAGGAGGCTGCGGGGGAAGTTCCTCCCTACCCTTTTTTACGCTAGGCCGACATTGGCTGGATGGCCATTGCGTCATTCAATTGATTTATGCATGACCGTAGCCAACTGCAAACGCTTTCTAGGATCACTGCAGCAGGCTGGGGAGAAGCGGTGCGAACAAATTGCAGCAAAGAAGGGGAACCCTCGCGGGCATGGAGTATTAAGCTTGCGGGCGGCAGCAAGGAAATTCCATGTGGCTCAAACCCCTCCCTCCTCCGTCCTCTTCCCTCCTCCTCCTCCTCCTCCTCCTCCTCCCTCTTTTCCATGTCATGTAGCAGTTCCTCGCAGGTTCAATTCCTTCCAGGCGCGCTGCTTGCGCCAGGGCGGCGCCGGAGGAACCGCCAAGGGAGGCAACAATTTGATCCAAGACATCCGCGCGGAGCTCCGAAAACGTTTGGTATGCCTAATTATGCCATGTGTTGCCCCTCGAGAAGATCAGTAAACCAGGCACCTTCTGGGCGGAGGGTGTGGGAGGTGGAGTGCCAGGGAGTACGTTTGTAGTCGTTCCCACACATCGGGGGGCCGCTCCTGGGCCCCCCCGGGGCCTTCCCAGAACTTCTCGAGGGTCCGCCGTCCGTTGGAGGGGTCGAGGGCTCTGGGGGTTCGGGCTCCTCCTCGGGGGGTGCCTGCGCTGCCCCCCCCCCCCCCCCAGACAAGCACAACGTCGTGGAAAAAACCGAACTGCCCCTGGTGCCTAAAAACGACTCGGGACGAAACACTTGCCGCAGGAAGGTTGTCCAGACCTGCGGGGGTCCACGCATCGAAAACATTGGAGCGCCTGACTCCTGGGTCTTCCTCGTGAGGTATCGGCGCTGCGTCCCCTGGACGGGTGAGGGGCGATGGGGGAGGAGGCCCGGTGGAGGAAGGAAGCCTGGATATCTCTCGTCGCCACGGCTGGATTCTCTTCGAAATTTTGGTCAGAACGCACCCCAGGAGAGGTCTGTGGACGAGCGGTATGGATACACTTTCCCTCCAGATGAGGGGCAGAGGGGGGATGATGGGGGAGAGGAAGCAGGAGTTCGAGGCCTCCTCCCTCTTCCTCTTCATCCCTCCCCCCAATTATCCTCCCTCCTGCTCCTCCTGGCACTATTTCCTTACCCCCCTCATCCTCCTCCTCCTCCCCCTCTCTGCCATCCCTGTTGCAGCCTCCTCCGAGCGTCAGCTCCGGCCCCGAGGGGGAGCGCCCCTCGCAGGCCACGGTCGGCCACACGGAATAACGACCCTTCGCCAGAGTGATTTCCTTTGTGCGTGGCAGCCGGGGGGCGCAGAGGGACCCAACCCGCGCTCGTTGGCCGCCAAGTCTTTTGCATCATCGCGTGCAACGATCGGCCAGCCGCTCGAGGGTCACTCTTGCGGGCAGCCGACACGGGAGATGGCGGGGAGGGAGTGCCGACCGCTTCATGTTGGCCGATCCTCGATCCGCCGATGGGAGCAGAAGATCGCTGGGCAATCCAGGATCGCTGTGAGTCCAACTTCTCCTCGCACCCCCCTCCTCTCTCCCCGTGCTCCGCCTTTTTGCCTGTCCTGTGTCAAGGTTCCCAAAAAGGATCTCAATCCTCTTTTTACTCCTCCGGAGCCTGGCTCGAGCAGCCCTGGAGACCGTTTCGGCAAATCCCGCCGCAGGGGGTCTCCACGGCAGTGGCGTGGTTAGAAGACTTGGCCCCCCGCAAGAGGCTCTAACTCCACCCCCTCCCTCCCCATTCCCTCCTCCACTTCAATCTGCAAGGATCCCCTCGTTCTCCTCCTCGTCCTCATCCCTCCCTCCTCGTCCTCCTTTTCCATCCTCGTCATCGTCCTCGTTCCGTCCAAGGATTCCCTCGCCCGCTCCATCCTCGTCCTCCTCCTCCTCCTCCCTCCTCTCCCACCCGTCTCAATCTCCAAGGGTTCCCCATCGCTCCTCCTCGCGCTCATCAGGCACATGGGCCAGTGCTGCCGACCAATAATTCCATTGCCCGCTCCATCCTCGTCCTCCTTGTCCTTCCTCTCTCACCCGTCTCAAATCTCCGAGGGCTCCCCGGTCGCTCCTCCTCGCGCTGCCTCAGGCACCATGGGCCAGTGTTGCCGCGCGCAAGGCGCGGGGGACACCCTGCCGAGGCGCGCGCTGCCGCAGGTCTGGCAGCGGGGTTCCCACGTAAGCGTCGTCCGTCGTCCGTCGTCGTCCTCCTCGCCGTCGTCGAGGCTCCAGAAACTCTTGCCTCAGCGTTTTGAACCAAAGAACATCATAGGGCCCCGAAGCCAGGACAACGTAAACCAGGATTTTTGCATAAGGCGGCCGCGGCTGCAGCTTCGCAGGGTGCGCCAGCGCCGTGGTTTTGCCAAAATGTCCCCGTTCACGGTACCCTGCACATGGGAGTTCTTATCCCCAATCTTCTTATGGAGTTTCCGCTTAGTGCTCCCCTCGGGGGGTCGGGGGGGAGCACCTCGGAGAAGAAAATTCTGCCTATCCACGATCGCTCGACCGTCCATGCGGATTTCTTGGATCTGCGCTGGCCACCCCTCCCTGGCGCGCAGATCGCGCGCAGGGCGGCGCTGGAGCCGCTGCCAGAGGGGGCCAGCGCCGATCCGACTAATCCGCATGCCATTTGATGCCCCTCGAGAAGATCACTGGATCAGCCACCTACTGATCGGAAGGTAGGAGAAGTGGAGGGTCAAGAGAGTACCCCGCCTTCCCCGGCCGCCGGCAGAACTCGGGCAGAGCTCGGCGGAAGTCCTGCCGCAGGAGCCAGGCGGGCCCGTGCAGCAAGCAAGGGAGCTCCAGGACCGATGGGAGGTCTCGAGGAGAGCACCGAGACTCTCCGAAGGAGTGTCTGCTTATTGCTCCCCCTGAGGAGTTGGAGGGAGTCCGGTCCTCCCCATCGAACGAAAAGCCGCGAGCCGCGCCCCGCGCTGGCAGTACTCGGGCAGCAGTCGGCGGAAGGCATGCCGCAGGATCCGGGCGGGGCCTCGGCAGGCCGGTGAGCTTCAAGATCGATCTGGGGGCTTCCAAGAGGCCACTGAGACTCGAGCATTGACAGAACGCCCCCCCAGAAAAGTATAGCTGCACGGGTTCACTCGACATTGGCATTCGACTGTGCTGGTGCAGTCCCCAGTCGGTGTCGCTAATCGACGTGCGTCTCGCTCGTTACATTCGGCGGTTTTTGGAGACGATCATGGCTACCCCGCTGGGGTGCACTCGGAATGCTGTGCCGTGCGCACTCGGCGGCTTTCGTTGACGGGCGTTGTGCCAGAGGGGGCCGTGCCCACCCCCGACGGGGCGCGCCCGAGGGGCTTCCGGGAGGGGCCCACGGGCGAAGGCGGCTCCATTCGATGGCGTTTTCACGCTGTCGGGGTCGCCCCAATCAAGCCTCCGAGATTCGGGTATAGCCAGGACCCCAGGTCAGGGGACCCGGTTAGTAGGGCCCCAGAGCCCCTGAACTGGCCAGAATCACGAAACCAGGTCTGCCACAGTTGATACTTTTCGGGTGACGGCAATTCCGGTTAGTGGAATGGGACGGGGGGGGCGTCCCCGGTACAGATCACTAAACCAGGTCACATTGAACCCAGTTCTGCCAATACCCGAGAGATGGTTGATGGTCGTTCCCGAGAACGGACAACTTTTCAGGGCAACCTTATACACGGTTGTTGAATTGTCGCTCGCGGTCATTTTCCTGGCCGTTACACCTTCGGCGCACCTCTCGGTGGACCCCCAGCGGGGCCCGAATGATTCAAGAAAGCCGAGAACTCAGCCCACGCAGGCCCAAGCAGGTTCCTGGGAGGCACAAGAGCCCTCCAAGACGACTCCAAGATGTTCCAAAAGGCCTTACGGAAAGAAACCATGAGGCTCCCAAGAGACCTCCAAGAGGCTTTCAAAAGGGGTGGAGGAGCCGAAGACGGCCCAGTGTCTCCAAAATGGTCCCAGAGGGCACGAAGAACTCTCCAAGAGGATCCCGAAGAGGCCTCCAGGGGGATCCCCGAGACGCCCCAGGAGGTTCCCAAGCGGCCTTCAAGAGGCCTTCGTTCAATTTTCGATGTGGCTCTCTTCCTTCGTCTCGCTCCCATCTTCTGCAAGGCCCAGCAGTTCTGCGCACGCGCTGGCTCTCCTCATTCCTCCAGGTCCTCCCCATAATCTTCGTCTGCTTCTCTCTCTCTCCATCTATATACGTATAATTACATAGATGCAATGTACATGTCTATATTGCTATCTCCCCCTCTGTCTCCTGCGGTAAGAAGAAGCGCGATACTGCGGGAGTCAACATGACACTTCATTCCTCACTCATCACCTGTTCGTCCTTCCACTTCCAATCCTTCTGCATCGCTCATCCCGTTCTTCCTATCTTCCCGTTCTTCCTACGCGTTCCTTCCATTTCCAATCCGGCATGAGAAACAGTCTTCGGGGACCCAGACATGCGATGCCCAGTCGTTTTCAGTGCGCGGTCCCCAGAAGTCCTGACCCTTTCCCCGGGGCCAGTGTTTCATCCAGGGCCGTTTTTTCACGGTTCCAGGGCCTTGTGAGGTCCCCCCGAGGCCGAAAATTAGGAAACAAAAGATGCGTCGGCGTCCGTCTTGATTTTCCTACGGCGTGACCAGGTCGTGGGACCCTGGGGCAGTCAGAAAACAATCTGGCATGACACAACAGTCTCTGGGGAGTGGTTGGGGCAGTTGTTGTACTCGACGCCTCCCAGATGGGGTCAGAGTAGACGGGGTTGGAGGATCGCGCCGCATCGCCGATGATCGGCGATGCGGCTCGATGTGGAGCCTGACTTTCACCACGCCGACGGCGCCGGTGCATCGCCGATTCCGCTGCTGCATCGC